CTCATAAATAAATTTTAGGTCTTGAGAATATTAGCAAGCATGATACTTTCTCAATACAAACATTTTAAAAACATATTTTGTTACAATTTATAGTTCTTGTACGTATTTTAGATGTGTAACAACAGATGTGAGAGTGAAAATTGTGTGGGTAGTATGGTGTGAACTCAAGAGTTGAAAATTATTTCATGTACACTTTTCTTTCTTTAACTTTTCTTCGTGAGTAAAAACGCAGACTTATTTCCAGCTGCTGCTAACGAAGGAAGAGCATTTAAACTTCCTTCCCCAGCATTAATAAGTTATTCACTCGAGATTCTGTGGCTTTTATCTTATATTGAATGAATCTACAAGCCACAAGGGTGCGATGTTCCTTCAATTTTATCATCAGTCTGCATTCACCTAAGATCAAAAATAGCTCTAAAGTATTGCCATCAATACTAGTTCCATAGTGAATCAATTTCATACATCAAACGTGCAGCAGATCAGTTCTGAAATGAAAAAAGTGAACAAAAGTCATAATGTGAGTTACAAAATAATCAACCACAATTAGATTTATAGTATTTATTACAACAACCCACAGTTAACTTTCGGGAAACACCTTTCTCATCTTCAATGGGTCTATAACACGGAGGACAAAAAATAAGAAAATTTCAAAGCATGGGAGCATGAACGAAGATTTTAAAAAAATACGAGATATAATGACAAATATAAAATAATAATAAATAATTAAAAATAAAAAACACTTACTGTGCAATCAATTTTTATCCCAAAATTTTAACATGTTTTACTTGTACTTATTTTTAGGTGTATATTATTGTAATTTTGTTAAAGTTATAAAGTGCTGGAACATTTTACAAAATTGATGTTCATTCCAATACACGTAATAAAATATAAAACTACATCCTGGTGTCAACTCGCCCTGCATGGTCCTGAATTTAGTTTATAATTTTCGCCAAGAGCTTTCATGAAAAATGTATCATCCTTAATAATAAATATAATAATAATAATAATAATAATAATAATAATAATAGTAATTTGTATTATTTTAATTACTATTATTATTATTATTATTATTGTGATCATTTTAATCACCATTTTGCACTACTATTTGTTTCCTAAACCTCTGGTGCCGAAGTCGAGTGGGGCGCTAGAAATCCTTATTTATTTTCGCAAGCGTCCGGCCGTGAGGGAGCGCGGGGATGGAGGCGGCGCGACGCGCTTTGGCTCCTCGCTGCGCTCTCCGGAAGCTTTTGTCAATCGATGCTGAGGCCGCTGTGGGCGGTCGCGAGGGACCAGCGGTCGGATTTCGCTTTACTGGCGGCGGTGGCTTAAAAAATAATGGGCACTATCGGCCCAGGCTACAAGTGCCAAAAAGGTGTGGGGGAGACTAGAAGAACGGTCATTTTTTTTTTAATGTATTGCATGTATCTAAACACCTATAAAAATTTTCGACCTCTCACAGCCTGAGCCAACTCCGGGAGTCCCGAAAAACCTATATTTCTCGGATCTTTTTTTTTCTCTTCTTTCTCTTTAACACTTTCTTTGTTTTATAAAACTAGTTTTTAGCGATATAGTTTTTTAGTTCATCCCCACACAATAACCTTGATGTTGCTTTTTGTTAGTTTTGCTACCGTTACATACTACTATGTAATCGTACTCGCTCTAAACTATTTTCTTCTTCGTCTCTATTTGAATTATTTTAGGTAATTTTTTAAATACACTTAAAATATGCACCCAAAAAGATTAAAAAAATGAGTTTTTTAAATACAAAATGTTTTTAAAACAAGTATTTCAAATACAAGTATTTAAATACTGCCAACCCTGCTCATAACAAATCGCAAAACATTTGATGCAACAACTAAATATTTTGAAGCAAATACCAACCCAAATTTTATCATTATTGCTGTTTTTATACAGGTAAATCATGACCTATCAGGCATAATTCACAAAAATGAGCTCCCGAGTCATTATTGTCGAGTCATTGAAACATTCCAATCTGATATTCCCTGAAAGCTAGTAGTATTTCAAATAGGTTTTAAATAATTTCAGAAAGATTGATGTGTAAATTTATAACAAAAGGTCTAATTAAGAATCGAACAATAATGTGAAATATACAAATTCTAACCTACGAAGCATCCAACTGTCTGGAATTACTTCAAGAAAGCGGAGTAAATTCGGAGGGGACGATTATTTTTGCCTCCAAATTACCCCAAAAATACCAATATTTTCAAAGAAATGAACTTGATCGTATTTTAAGATCTATTTTGAATAAACCCGTCTTCTTAAGAAAAATAATTGTATTTTTGAAATTTTATTTGTAGAAAGACGTCGAACACAAAGAGCAGTCAATTGGGAGCGGGCTATTACGTTTCTCGCGAAATTACACAAAAAGTACTTATATTTTCAAAAAATTCAACATGAATATTTTTATGAACATACTTTATTAATAAAACAATTGTAACGCAAAAAATGAGAAAGTTCATGACCAGAACGTGAACATCTTTGTACTTCGAAAGGTACAATCTCGGTAAAAACAATGTGAATGAACAAATTCATTAATAGAAGTGGGCTGCAAATACATTATAATTTACTTATTTACTCGACTTTACGAAGTAACGCGATTAGGAACTACTTCTGAATGTATAATCACACAACTGTACGTGTTGGGAGAGAACTCGTCATAGCAGTGAAAGCTGCTTTTGAAGTACGTAACAAGCCCTTCTAGCAAGTAATGCAACTATTACGGTGTTCCTGCAGGCTATTTGTAAGGGTGAATAGCTGGAACACGCCAATTATAGAACATAGTTCATTGTACATCGCTGCATTCATTATTGGAGGCTGACAAGGTTATCTCTTCCTGTGCGGATGGATATAGGTATCGTGTAAATCAGTGGTTGTTTGGTCTATGCATTCATGTCGCGTTTGTATTGACATACTCATGCCTTACCTAGATTCAAATCGGAAACTATTTGTACTATGTTATCATTCTGTTAAGCGATCAATTACACTTGCCATAAAAAAAATTGAATGTTTCCTTCACTTTTCGGGTAAAGTATTATGAATTTTGGGTTAAGAAAAACGATTGCAAGGATTTTTTGTAAGCTCTTGTTTCTATGATATTCAATTCATGGAAATATTCGATTTTAAGATATTAAGAGAAAACTAAATATTTTAATAATATATACCAACAACATTAAAAGTTCACTTGAATATCTTTAAATGACAGCTACATATAAAAGTTCAAAGTTGATGGATAATCACCTTCTTGTATTTAAAGATAATTAGTAACTTCATGAGATCTCCGTTGTATGGCTCCCCTCTTATAATTGAGTTCCGGAGCATCTCTACATACAGACCAGCAGTAAACCGCAGGATCGCTTCGTTCAAACGGCCCTGATATATTTGCTTCATTAAATAATTGCCCTGATGGAATCTTTCTCCGTTTTCATCGCTGACTGCTTCACAACTAGGAGAGAACACGTGTTGGTGGGAATGCAGAACATCGATGTTAAGAGGCATGTTGCCTCAGAGTTCATGGCATTTTTGCAGAAGTATCAACACCAACTGAGTGTAGTTATCTCTTTTGTTGCCTAAAAATACATGAATAACTCCTTTGAATGCTTCCCAAACTTCCTTTTCTGCCCCTCCAAAACTCTGTAAAACGTAGGATCCTTTATAAATTATTAAATGTGTGTTCCAACAAAAATACCTTCCTTACAATTTGCATAACGTAATATAGATTTTTTTCTCTCTTAAGTACCTAAAGGCCAGTCCTTTTTGATTCATATCTTTGTCAAAATGTTTATACTTAAGGGTCGAAGAAGAGCATCTTTTGAGTCTCAGCAGAGAGCAAGAGAGGCTCAGCAGCGTCATTGTTCTCAGTAGAGTTTAGATTTCTTTCACGCCAGTCTGCTTGAAAATACGTAATGTGATTTCTTGTCTCTGCTGTGCCTCACACATAAAAACATCTGCATTCTGTACTGTGAGATCCGGCCATTTCTTTGGAGAAGATTCTATTGCTGTAGTCTTGACTCTAGAAGTTCTGCTTTCTCCTTTGACAAGTTCAGATCTCGAATGAGACCACTCAATTCCGCTTGACTAAGACAGTGCGGTACATCAACGTTTTCCTCAAATTCAGGGTCAAGGGGTGTGCAAGGCTTCTTCTTTATGTTTTTCTTCTTTCACACCCTCTCCATTTTCTACTGATAATTTTGGGGTAGTGAAGGAACTGATAAACTATCTGAAAGTGGAATAGGTCGAATGGTAGATGGGTATTTAACTGTTCGTCTGTTCTTCATTGACAATCCTACGTTGATAGGTGGAGTCAACCAGAAATCACAGTCATCTGTATGGTTGGAGTGCTTCTGCCAAACCATAGGCACAGCAAAACCCATAGAACTTTTTTCCAGGCATTTTCGAAGTTTAACTAAAAAAAGAGTTGCAACATGTATGTGGAGCCCATGACTTGCCCTGGTCTCCTACCTTTATGCCAAAATAAAGTTGTTAGGCAGTCTTCACAAGAGAGATTGCGTTTCTGTGACAAAAATGTTACTTCCCCAAAGATGCAACAAATTCAGTATTTACTGAATTTACTGAACTTGAACACTTCAAAAGTACTTCAAAACCAGACATCTTGCATATTTTGAATTTAGGATTTGGTTCCATAATAAAAAAAGAATTAAAGAGAAAAGTGTGAGAGTGATTGAATAATATTTTATATTAATGTGTGTAATAGATCAGATAATAATGATGTTATTTACTTATCTGAGATATAAATGATGATGTTAATCTATTAATATTGTGTGTATAAGAAGTGTTATAATGTGGAAATTTTTTAACATTTGCTGAGTATAAAGATTGTGCCGCAGGATGACTGTAGTTTGAATGTTGCGATAAAGGAGGTGTATATCTGTGTTGGAAATTTTTTTGGGTTTAATTAGAATGAGTGTGTACAGAGTTTTGATGAGTGGTATTATTTGAAGTCATTCCTTTTTTACGTAAAAAGTTAATGAATGTTGGACAGTTTTACTAGATGATGCATGAGCTACATTTGGAATAGTGGACCCCTGGCAACTATATGGATTTTGTAGGTTCGTTATAAGTATGAAAAACATTTTTCTTAGAAAATTCATGCCGAAGTGTAGAGTAATCTTCTATTGTATAAACCATTATTTTAATGTACTAACCTTGCATATTTGTCCTCAAGTTAGAATGATCCAAAATTTCTGTTATTGTAAAGACTAAGATGGA